TGCGGCTCAAGATGCATCATTTGGACGTTTTGTTCTCTCGTTCTCTTATTTCCACTACTTAAGTGCTACATTTAAATGTTCATACAAGCGATGCGAAAGAGGTATTCAGGCAAAGATGGACACTAGCTACGTAAGGGCTGTTTACCCAGCTAATGGCAATAAAATGTAATCTATTTCCGTTTTGGATGTTTTACTGACGCCTCACGTGCGTGCTTTTACTATACTGAATAGGTTGCTATAATGTGATAACAAGTAGGATGAACCTGTTGGGATGGAGATACCACCACGGAACGCGCACAGTTGAAACGTACGCGAAGTCTCTTTAGAAGATTATGCAGTAAAATGACAACAGAGGAGATGGGAAAGCGAGTTTTGTAGTAATTATGGCGATTGCACATAGCTCCATTGTACGCACCTTTCAATTCGAAGGACGGTGTAATCACAACTTGCGAATTTGAACCTAGAAAGTAGCCACCACTTTTACTGAGTCTGTAAAGTCAAAAGAGATTGAGTTTAAAGGAGTGAGAACCACATTTAATCATCTGAATGTGTAGACAATTCCTGGAAAGCTTAAACACAGGAAGGCCCGTAAGTAGAGCATTTAGAATATACACTGCGTTCCATCAATTACATCCGCCCTTCCACGAGCATAAATTTTGACCTACCTACTTTGTTGGAAAATTCGACCTTAAGAATAATCCGTTCGCTGGAATTAATAACCCCCCACTCCAGGCTAGCACTGACATATTTTCTTCCCAATTTTAAAAATATCGCAATTGTGACGAGGGACGGCCGATTCCTCTCCTGAGGTCACCAGCACCATCAACGACCCACCGCCAACCAATCAAAATGGTGAGCTCGGTGACAACGTAGCCCTATGCATTACCACCTCACCCAATTATGCAGGATCTCACATTTACCCTCGTCCCGTATTCATCTCACTTTCATTTCGTGTAACAACACATCCACATAGGAGAACGGGAATCACTCTGGATCACTATAAGCAACTGCATAACCACTACAATGCGTTGCGATTTCACACATTGCACTTAAGCATGAGACAGTAACCAAGACCAAACCTGGGTACTATCTGCTTGGAATTCCTCACCCTTATCGTAATCTGAACCAGCAGTCCGCATTATAACTGAGGCACTCCAAATGAAAGGGAATCATGGACTCTGTCAACTGATGGAACTCCGTGACCTACACAAGAACCAAAGCACCTTTGGAAAGGAGGGTTGATATTGTAATGGGAGTTTAATTGGTAACCGCTACTCCCTTTACGGACTTTTTTTTGACGGTGCGTCGCGCATGGCTAGTTAGGACGACCAACAGCCCGGCGGACACGCGTGTGTTCACTTCCACCTCGTCTACTTCATGGAACCACTCCACGGAGCCCCATCGTCTCTCCTACAACCAACAACGTCATACAGTAAACATTTGACGTGGTTTTTACCACCAAAAAACATTGATAGATGAGACAGCGGCCTACCTGGAAATTCTGCTCCAATCGAGACAACTCCACGGCACGCTGAGAGGTCAGGAAACCATCCACCATCGCCAAGGTCAACCAGAGTGACTTGAGGTTCTCCACGCACGTCTGAAGACCTAAAGACAGACAACAAATGGAGAATCCACCGCACGTGCGGATAAGGGAGAACTGTGAGATAAGAAACCTAACCCACAAGTCCCCATCGATTGATAGAGAGGAGGTGTCGGCGAATAAAATCCCGACACTCCTTAGGGACGGGAGTGAGGCAGAAACCAGTGGTGACGGGAGGGCGAAAGCGATATCGATTTTCAATGAAATCGAGAACCGTACCCCACTGAGACTCCTGTTCGACAAGAAGCTCTTCTGGAGTCTCGATTCTGTAACTTTAAACAATAAGTATGGTAATTTAGCTATGAAGGCTAGGTGATCAATGCATTGTTTTGCGCACAAACTGAACCAACCAAATAGTGTCGGTGTCAGCATACTCCATTATCCCATTGACGATCACCTCCTTGGACCTTTCGGTTGGATTGTCGATGACATGGCTACAGATGGTAGTCTAAATGAGGTAGTGAAAGCGAATTGTAGAGAGAACTAACCAGGGGTAGAGTAAAGCGCTCAATATATTCCTGTTGTGAGTCCCATTCGTTGGCAACAGCGAGAGCTAAGCCCTCGTGTGGGACGCTAAAGATATTCCCTCCGGGTGTACGTAGACGGCTTTTGTCGAGAAATACCTCGTAGCCAGTCTCTGTGACACCGTCAGCTAGAGAACAAAATCCAAGACTAGAAGCAAAATTAACAAAAGCATTTATTCAAAATGTAGTTTATAACACCAAAACAACGGTCCAATATTCGAATGATGAAGACGTATAGATGGAGACCTAGTGATAGTGGTGTAGTGAAACATCATATACAGGTACCTACACACAAACTTAGTCTATTATGAAAGTTAGAGTAATACAATGAACAATATTAGAGCTATCAATCAACCTTTACTAGTTGCTATGGGGTTACGTATGGTCAGGCAAAACCCTACCCGTGCAAACACCTTTTGCTACCCAAACGCTCCTGTAAAACCGCTTTAGAGACACTAAATTATAGATGGTGTGTAATTTTAAATAGTAGTAAAACCTTGCGAAGAAAATTCAAGCCTTGAATGACGTAAAATGACACAACGTGACAGAACACTAAACAAACGCATTCTAAGGAACAGCACACACCAAATGGAAATGCGCTCCAATAATCAAGGGCTGGAAATCCCAGCAAGACTGTAGCGCCGACTTTTAGTAATCACAACTAATGTCTTTATTGTTTCAGATAATTTATTTGTATTTTTACGACACCTTAAAAGCTTTGTCGATGTGGACAACCCTAAAACAGAAGAGGAATATAATGCACCATCATTAAAAGCTCAAATGTTTTAAAGATAACTTTCATTTGCTAAATGCACATACTTTACGAACAACATTCGTATGCGGAAAAAAATCAACCCAGGTAGAATGAGCCTCATCAATGCGCGATGAATACCATCGAGATTAGGCCTACTAGTCAATTACCCACACGCACCACCCCTCTTCTGGAGGGAGTAGGATGTTTGGTTGACAAAATACTCAAAATAGGATTAAAACACTCCTAAGTTGTAACGTGTTTCATCAGTTACTCTAGTAAAGCAAATGTACAAGGCTAGTGTCTGCGCGTTGATTGCACTACGCCAAACGCGGTTTCTTAGAAGGACGCTTCATTGTTTTTCCCTTATATAAATGAGTCGAATAAAAATAGCTATTGATTTTTGACATAAACTAGGCAAATATAGGCAAAGTAGGATGTGACGGGTAAAAAACGTCCCCTTCTTAATCGCTTTGCGTTAAGAATTACAACCGTTGCTTTTGAACCCTACAATGAAGAGTCCAGATTTTAGTAACTTTGTTTGGGTCAAGACATGCGAGAATACAATCCTAATCATCCAGTCTGACTATGATGCCTCAAAAATTCCTCTTTTTTTAGACCAACAGGAAGAGGGCCACGGCCATCAGGCAAAGCAGCCGAATGAATACCGCAGGTGTGGTAAGAAGTTCCACCGAAAAAAATAAACGCTTAGTACTTCAACTCTTCTTGGTACGAAACTTATCGGTTTTTCAGCGCTCACATAAGTAATCGGGTAGCATAGGAGGGAAGGGGATGGTAAAGACTTCGAACGAAGGCTACTTGTAAAGACCGACTATTCACAGAATAATAGACAGGTGGGAAGATCAGTCTGATTGGTCCGCCCATGCCAGGCACTGTGATTATGCCTCATGTCAGTGTCAATGTGTAGCGTCCCGAGACTGCCTGAAGACGAAAGAAGACACAATACTCGGGCAGAATATATGTATTCAGCACGGAGAAGGTGTCTGGGCTACTGGCATGGCCCAAAGGCCAGCCCACCTGGCGAGGTACAAGGGGGCTAGTTCAAAGTACAAAAGTGGCGCCTAGCCAGAACCGAGGGAGAAACCACTATCGTATTACAAATGCCTCCCTGCATACGGGACTAAAATATATGCATTCACCGGTGCTTTGCTGTTTAAATTGCTTACTATCCAAAAAAGGAGAGCATCAGATAATATTTTTTACCGGAAGCTAAAGTACCGAATTGCCACACTCTAGAGCATGCAGTGTGAGTCAACATAGGAAAAATTATAAATTTTGACCTTGCACAAAGAAGTAAAAGCTCATTGTAGTGCATACAGAAGGCTTGCTAGGGCAAGCACATCTAGCCCCATGCCCATTAAGGCAGGGATCCAATTCATCTACGTTGACCCGTTCCACTTCCGGCAATACAACTCAGATTACTATGAAGGCATTACAGTGAGACGAGGCGAGGACAAGGTTTACATTACTAACGTAAGAAAGAGGCTTACCAACCGTAGTAGACGCCTAGGCAATACCTGAACGAAGGATACAAATCCCTGTTCCTTAAAAGAGTTTTGCAACCTTTTAAATTACTCCTTTAGCATAAGGTAATCTTTTAACAAAATTGTTCCCTTTGATCAAGATCTTAAAATTGGCGGCAGATGGTAAAACGGCGAATGATTCACGTGAAAATAGATGTTTATTTTGCGCAAATTAATTTGGTGCACATTTTGCCTTTTAAAGACTAAAAACAAAATATACACACTTTTTAGAAGTGGCTTTGATAAACTGTTGAATGTGCTCTAATCCTTCTTTGAATTTTCTAACCTCTCTTTGTTAATGACTGCTTGTTTCCATTTCCTACTCATATTTTATCGAATGTGGCTCTTCACTTTCCACTTTGCTCTTAACTTACCTAGCTGTTAAAATGGTTTAAATAAATAGTATTTTGCTTGCATAGCCCTCTTTTTGATTATCCGATCTAGTTACATCTCATTGAAATTGTTGGCGCGTCGGTTGAGTCCACAAATTTGTATTCACCGGGCATGCTTTCGTCTGATGACTCCGATGCTGAGGACTGGTATGAATGTCTTTTCTTTGACGCATCGTCTAACTCCGTTACGTAATTACTCGTGATTTGCTTTTTCAGCAAAGGCTTATCAATGCCAGATAGAGCGAGCTTTGAGGCCGTTCCCGTAAGTATTGTGGGCTGTTTCCATGAGATGGAGCTTTAATGGAGGGCTTCAGTTTTATTAAAGTATTTCGTGCCGTTTTTGCTGCTGGTACTTTGTGTAAGCCCTTTTTTTATTAGAGCCAACGAGTACGACTTCTGTCTTCTAACTGGAACGCCCCAGAACCCGTTTTGCGGGTGGGCGGACGCACTGTCTTCACGCGGGGTCGGCCACCGTGGTACACGCGTGAGGGGCAGATCGATGAATGTTTTGTCGTTGGCATTTGCGGTGGCTCCGGTAGTGGTAAAACCACTGTGGCTCAGAGAATCATCGAAAGGCTTAACGTTTCTTGGGTCAGCATACTCAGTATGGATTCCTATTACAAGGTAGCACTCTTTTGGCTTTGCTGGTTTTTCCACATAATTTTGGTGTATTATTAGGTTTTAGTGTTTACTTTCGACCAAACATCAATTTAATGCTTCAGTTTTTGTAAATGCCGCTTTGTGTTATTGCAGTCATTTGGGCATTTATGTAGTCGGTTCTGTTATAATATTCTTTTCGAGAGCTTGTTTTTGATACTATGATGTTTAGCTGATTCCGCACCATAAACTTTTATCTGTCGGCAAATTTTGATTAAATCCTTGGGCGAAGTGAACCCCTGAGCTTAAGAAATCATGTCAATTCGATGTGCATGTTAGTTCGAAATGTTTGCCTCCACACTATTTCACTTCCCAAATCATCTCTGCTGGGTAAGCTGCGATGATTTCTTATGTAAATAACCAAAGGCCTATGTTGTGGTCTGATTTTCTCTTTTAATCCCCCTCGACCAGTTCAAATTAATCGGTTGTGTCCATTCGCATCTGCCGATCGCATACGTCTCCCTTATCGTATTGTCTGGTCACCAAGTCTTCGTTATTTGCATTGAGAACGTTTGTAATTGTTTGGATAAATCGCCATGGTTGTCTTTTATGCATTTTGCTCTATGGTTTCTGCGCAGGTAATCAACTTATCTCAGCGAAGTTGTAGAACGTTTGATATACTTTGCCAACTTATAACTAGATTTTCAAGGATGTTCAGTTTGATTTCACCAATTTGATGGCAAGGGCATTAGAAGTATGCACAACGATAACCCCACGTGCTTTCTTGTCGTGTGATTGTTCCAAGCTTTTATTATCCACTAATGTCATCGGCAGTTTAAAATAGTTAGCGATAACTTTTATCTGTAGTACTTCTGTGTTTTACAGATACCCGCTGTTATGCAAAGAAAGTAGGCCTAACCTCACCTTAACTTGTGCTCTGATTGCGTTCTGGGTCAATGAAGCCGTGATCCACACTTACAGATATATATATTCTAAACTCATCGAAATTCTGTAATTAATAAATCAGATGATTCTCTTACTGAAATGTTTTGTAAATTTTACACCTAACTTTGTGGCTTAGTGCCAACAAATATCGTACTGATTTCTGATCCGTAAACAATACCCTTATGGGGTTCTCGCCTCATATTGAGAGTGCAAGTGAGAATGTGTAAGTGTGTCTCTATTCAGCATGATTTTGTCTTTTCACGATGATGGGGTGGCACTTGAGACTGTTCTTCACTAAACAGGTGCTCTCAGCGGAGGAGAAGCAATTGGCGAAGGAGGGTCGCTACGACTTTGACCATCCCTCTGCAATCGACATCAAGCTTCTCACCAACCATCTGTCTCGTTTAAAGGAGGGCAAGAGCATTCAGGTTCCGGAGTACGACTTTTCTACGCATTCTCGTGTTGCCAAAACGGTGGGTCTCTGACGGATCATTTTAGCTTTATCATTGTACTTTTATCTTGCAGATTCGGGTTCACGTCTCTTAATAGTGGGTGTTTGGTTAGTAGCCCCTGATTTATCTCTGAAGGCACTGCAAGGCACAAGTGTTGAAATTGTCTTATTATTATCTTAACGAAGAGTTGGGATACTAGGAGCACAAGTGAAATGTTGTGTTACATATTTGTGTATGCTTGCTGGCAATGGGTTTCAGGAATTCTAACTACTGTAATCACTTATTCTAACCTGCTTCGGTAGGTTTTTAAAGTGTCACACTTCAAGGAACGTGACTTGGGGTGTAGATTTCGTCCACCGTTGGTCAGTAGCTTCCGTTAATCGCTGTACATTTTTCATTACTTCTTTGCGCATGGCCAGTTTTTTGTTTCGTATTTTAAGCAAACGACCCCATGTTGCAGTGGTCACTTACAGTGTTCACATGGACATCTGGTGTTTTATCTCTACATTTCAGCGAACCCTATACGGTGCCAATGTGGTTATCTTTGAGGGTATCATGGCTTTCTGCTTTCCTGAACTAACTAAGGTATGTTACATACTCGTGGTTCATAAGATTCGTATTATGTTGTTGTAGGAAATTGAGCTTCCAATGCCTTGCACGGATAGGTTTTTTTCATTTACTTTATGCTTCTTTATGCCACCTTTTTTTCTCGTAACTTCCACACATTTACTTCATTTGAGCCAGCATAACCTTGTAATGAATGCATTATTTCGTCAAGATTTTAGCAAGCTTAACCAATAAGCACTGCAGGTGAGCACAAGTTCATAGTGCGGATCATGCCTCATCTGGCAATCTTAATGACCCCGTTTGCTCACCTGCTGGTCCCTTATTCAAAAACAAAAGATGCATTGTTTTATCGAGATCCTATGCAAAGAAGTAGAGCTGCTTAAAAGCGTGATGACTCCGAAAGCACGGGTTCCCCCAGCCATTTATAGCGCTAAATAGGGACTAAGGGCAACAGTATTTTCCCTTACGTTCACTTAGTTGATGGATCTCAAAATCTTCGTTGATACGGATTCAGACGAGCGTCTATCTCGACGACTACTTCGTGATCTGTGCTGTCGTGGGCGGCAAATCCCCGACATTCTCCACCAGTACGACACCACTGTGAAACCGGCATATGACACTTACATCGCACCTACCATGTCCATGGCTGATATCATCATACCCGGAGGTACAATCCTTAGAGGTTTTAGAGATAGCAACAATACCTTGGTTTTTGGGGTGGAAAGGTTAGCTAGTCGTTTATATCTTTCTGTAGGTGGTGAGAACGCCGTGGCAATCGATTTAATCGTTCGGGTCGTAGAGAAGCACTTGAAAGAGGTTAGCGCTGTCTCATACTTTGCCTCTTCATCGCTGCCAAAAACACCGACGCTAGGTGAATTTCTGCACTTCTAGCATTCGCATCGCCTTCGGTCGGAGCAGGCAAGCGGTCTGCGCCAGTCCTTCAGTCAACTCCGCCTCAATGGGTCCACGGCAGCGGCTGAAGCAGCGTCCGGGCAAAAGGGATTAAACGGGACTGGCAGTGAGAAGTCCGTCTCGTCGCCGGACACACCGACAAAGGGAGCGGCTTTTCCTTGGGGCGATGGCACCATCAATGGCCTCCTTGAGGCGCCTCTCGATCCCGCTATCATCCCTCCCCGAGTCAACGTACTGCCACTCACTCCCGAGGCACGGTGTCTGCATACCCTGCTGCGTGATCGAAATACCAATCAGGACGCCTTTATCTTCTATGCGGAGAGGCTCATGCGACCTATTTGTGAATTTGCTTGCCGGCTTCTACCCTATGAGGTGACTACCAGTTTGTGCTGATTGTCGATTTATATTGTGAGAAATCGTTTGGCTGAAACGCGAAGAATTTTCAAAAGGCCTTTAGAAGGAGGCATCTAACACCTTCCGCCCATATATGTGTGCGTTTGAAATTAAGATGGAGGGAGTAGGAAGTGCAGTAACTGGTCGTGTAATTCAAACTGACGCTTTTCAGATGGAGTTTGGTGTAATAGAGGCTCATTTGGTTCACCCACAAATTCGCTTGCTAGCCTTATTGTTTTGTGCTGCCCCTGTAGTTTCCTTAAGGTTTCCAAATGTTTTAACGTTTCTTTATTTGCTTTGGTAATTATGAAGACGGTGGGGGAGGGGGCTGGTTATGTTTGTATCTGTATTTGCCATGTAACTATTTTCGCTCAAAAAAAAAACTGGCTGTCCTTACAGTCTGGTGTGATTTATCACCTCTATATTGTTGGTGTTGGCGAAAAACATAAATAAACAACTTTTTATCACACAACTTTAGTGAGCAGGTTTGCTTGAAGTAGAGGATATTTTCCCCTTCGTAGAGTCCCCTATGAATGAACGGAAAACGTGGAAATGACTGTACATGTGTGATGGAAGTGGTACCTTCAGAATGCGCAGCCTGAGGAATGGCGGAAAAGTACTGGAACCTACTAAATGAAAGAGAATAAGGATAGTTGAAGATATTTCAGCAAACTTCAAGGAAGAAAACGCTTAAGCAATTGTTGATATTGAGGTAACACTGTTCCTCCATGCACTCGGTATTGTGGTCATACGTGCTGGAAGAACGATTTCCCTGCCTTATGTCCCTAATGGAGAAGCAAGGCTCCATCGCTTACAGTGTTGATTTCTTTCATGTGAAATTGTGACGGGACAATATCCGTCTCCGCCATCCGAGGCTATCCAGCGTTCGACTTTTTCTTCACCATCCTATTTCTCCTTCGATAAGTTTTTAATAAATCGATGCTTCTGTGGAAGTTTTTTGCCCACTTTGGAAAGAACATCGTAATTAGTGTGAAAACTTATAGTGGCACTCCATATGCATAAATCGTTAGAACTGGGAAGAAGATAATCCAGCTGTTTACCTAATTTTTATTCCTATTTTCTGTAGGACGTTGTGGTCGACACGCCCCAGGGCATCCCTTACCACGGCCGTCGATTGGCACCCAACACCCAGATCTGCGGCGTATCGATTCTGCGCGCTGGGGAGGCCTTTGAACCCTCCCTCACGGCGGTGTGCAAAGACGTGCGATTGGGTAAAATCCTCATCCAAACCAACCCCGAGACCCTTGAACCGGAGCTGCATTACCTGCGTCTACCGAGCGACATTAAGGTTAGCTTTCTTTCCATCGCCTTTGATTGGAGGTCGCTACTTGAGTCATTTCTTTGAAAGTTACGTCAATCTTTTCTATACCTAATATACCCAAACAGTACAATTAATGTTCAGTTCGAGTCCGGGCCTTCAAATTTCCAAAAAGAAGAGCTGATATGGGGGAATTTAAGCTGTTTTTTGTCCCACATAGTCTCCCAATGGTACATTTATACACTAATCCAGCTGATAGATCCGTCTGTTGCGTAATTTTACAGCATTGGTTATGCGTCAAATTTCCAGGTTTAGGCGTTCCACACCCTGAATGTTCACGAAGTAATTGGTGTGCTGAGCTGGGCTGCGCCTGAGTGCCCCATCGCTAAACGAAACTCCGCTTGAAGTCCTCTGCAGATGTAGGCAGATTTTGCAAGATGCTTCATCGCCACTCCCTGTTCCATCCAGGCACTGCCATTGTTGTCTGTCATTTTGACTAACTGTTTGGGCTGATCCGAGGCATGCGCGAAAGGGCTCGCTTGCCCCTTACCACTGTGCGTACTGCCATTGTGGGAGCATTCCGTTTCATGTGTGTAAAATCCGACCTGGGCGGCTCCCCTCACGCACGGACCTGATTATCGGGAATAGAGGTTAGGTGTTTTCGAAAGTAGGTGGTTGTGGTTTGCTGGCGCTGACATATTTCCCAAGAAAACAGCAACTGTCAGGCCTTGGAGTTTCGTTTTTCGAGGGCTTGATTTAGGTCTTTTTCTACTGATCTGGTAGTTCAAGTTCCATTGTATGATATAGAGTCATTAATATTATAGGTAAATTCTTTCATGGAGTCTTAGAATAATCTATCGTTCTCTAACGTCTGATTGGTTGGTTTGTGAATTTGCTCGAGGTTAAAGAGAACTTCTGAATGGCAACCGATTTGTTTCAAATGTCGCAAGTTATCATCACGGTGTGGACTTCCTTTTTTTGCTACCCCCCCGAAGCGGTAAACGTTATTTGGTAAAAAAGGCATTGTCAATGGGAAATGTTTGAGTTGGATGTGGGAATTCCGGCTTTCTTGGCTCTTCTTGTTCGATGTATTCCTGTGAAATTTGATCCACTTTATCTTCCAATACTCCCTCTCCCCGCGAGTACAATGACTGGGGATAGTGCTCATTAAGTTTTTTTTCGAATATTAAAACGTGTATTGGTGGTAGTAGTAATTGTCAGTTTGACGACCTAGACTGACGAGTTTATTACTTCTAGCCAACTGAAAAGGGCATTTAGTAACGTGTCGATTCAAAATAAACTTTGCTGTCTGTTGTGCGGTTAACTTTGCTGTACCCTACCTCATTTCTTTCCTAATGCCTTGGGCGCTAGTTAGGATCGACGTGTTTTCAGTGCTTGGCTTGTGCGGCCAGATTGAGGTTAAGTTGAGTCTAAATATTTTTTAAAACGCTCCTTAAAATATTTGCATACGACTCACTTCTGCTCACACCGTCTGATCCGTTTTCATGAGGGGCTGACCAAAACTAGCCCAAGCTGAATGTTGCCGTTGCATTTTTTCAGTTTCTCCAGCCAAATGTTACCCTTAACCTACTGATATAAGTCAGATATTCTTGTTCTTCAGCCAGGGCTCCAACATAAATTTATTACTTGTTGAGTCTGGTGTAGCGTTCAGGTCCTCTCAAAACGCTTTATAAGCATGGATACAATTTTACAACAAGTGTGCAGTAAAACTGAATACCTCTCAATAGAAAAGACACGAATTGTGTCGAAGTTGAAGATCTTGCCCGTCGTTAACTGTGAAATTGAAGTAGATATCATTCTGCTAATTGGCTCCCTTTGTGTGCCTTCATCGGTGCTACTCGTGGTCATTCGCCTGCGTCAGCTGTTACAGTCTGTTTAAAAAGCCATTCACGGGCAAGCAACGAGGCCGATGCGTTGATTTCCCATCAAGATGAAAGGACATTTGATACGATCATCTGGATCTGGATGTCCATCCTTCGGCAAATGCATTGCAGATGGCCATTGTCTTTCCATTCCTCAAAGGGAATTTAGTCCATTTACTATGTGAGTCATTTAATACGTTTCGCAGGATAGTTCCACAAAGCTAATATGCGAAATCTTTTTCCCCTACTTTACCAGTCTGTCCGGGTTCTATTCAGTCAATGGTGACGTGGGAGACATATCATTTCTTCAGTACTTCACTCCTTTCAACTTAGATATGGTAGGCAGTTCCAAAACGGATCTTGTCAAATCTTCCAAATCTGGCTTCACTTCAGATACTAAACACGAGGTTGAGGTGCTTATCAAGAGTGGTCGTAGCCTCAGGGGTGTTACGCTGTGAGTCCGTGGATTCGGTCATCAATGGGAATTTCTTCTTTTGGCGTTTAGGCTTGTTATTCAGCCCTTGAAATTGGCTTGCCTATAGCTGCTATCAGTATGGAACTCGAATTCCTCCTGCAGAATTTTAAGGCTAATGGCATTCCGGATACAACTATTCCAATTTAACAGCGAGATTATTGGCCAAGATCGAGTACCATAGCACCGAGATGGTGACTATTATCTACGGAAAATGAAGGATTTGTGATTTCAACCGCACAGTGCAGCTGAAACACGAAGTCCGTAATTTTTTTACACTCTTGTAATTTGGTCGGTCAAACACATAAGCAGAAATGGAGTTGAAAAGGCAGGAATTAACACGTAATAGCCTGCTTGTATATCTGCTGTCCATATTAGGATTGCTACGTGATGCTGATGGACACGACGGTGGCGTCAGGCGCTGCAGCCATTATGGCGATGCGAGTTCTGGTGGATCACGATGTGCCCGAGGATCACATCATTCTCATCTCCCTCATTATGGCCATTCAAGGTGTCCATTCTGTCGCCTACACATATCCCAATGTAAGTCCTCTCCTCTTTGAAGACGTTATTATGCACACGAGTCTGAAAGCAGTTCTATGCTCGATGCCAGAAGAGCCTGGAGACCAGCAGCACGAATGACATGGGTAGGGCTATACGCCACCAGCGTGGCAGTCGAACCACGGGAGATCGGAGACCCATGCGGTAGTGCGTACCGTAGCACCCGAGCCATGGAGTACAATAGAATGAGAGTTGTCATTGTTATCGGCGTACAGAAGGGTGACATAGACAGAGCCTCGTGCTATCAACGTTGCAACACAGTACCTACCTTTGACCTACTGCCCTTGTAGGCACACATTGTGACCTCTGCTATCGATCCCGGCCTGACCGACGACTATCACATCCTGCCCGGGATTGGAAACTTTGGGGATCGCTACTTCGGCACTTCTGCTATGAATTAACAGAGACAGTTGGTTGGCGGCTCAATTGTGTGCGGTTTTTTGTCCTTCCATTTTATTTCACCTCTTCCCTCTTTGTACTTAGTCATACACTCTCTTTGTGTGCGTGTGCTCTTTCGTACTCCCTCTAGATGATGATAAACCACACCAGGTGCTCTTCTCGTGCATTGTTTCTCATTCACCCACGTCCGCATTTTGTCTATCATACAAACAAAAATTGAATGGACTGTGTCTTCATCTCATACCTTCCCGTCACTCTCACTTGTGATGGGGAAACGGGAAGGCAGTGAAGCTTGGTTATGGAAAGATGCGGCAACTAGCTTTTGTCAGAAATGGAACGCATGGGGAGGCATTATTTTGTGCTGTTAATTTTGGTGCGATTATAATGAGGCGTTTGTTGTCGTGGTTGTACTCCTCGTCTGTTGGGGGAATTGTGCCGTGTGCCTCCGACTGTGGTGGTAATCTAGATGTCACGTGGGGATAGTTTGGTGTACTTCAAATTAATGTGGTTGTGAAGGTTCCCCGCTGCTCATCTGCGAGCATGTCATCCCACGTCTCCGTACCACGCGATCATATCCTCCTTATTTGTCACGTGTGAATGGGAGGTTACAACTTGACAGACATGATTAGTAATTGAGACGACTGATGTTTTGACAGGTAGGCGTACCTAATGCGCAGCACACGATCTGGGTGAGCATACCGGTCTATCCTGTCTTCCGTGGCCTGGCTGTGACCCTAGTAGTATCAAATACAACTCCCAACTCCTTGATGCATCAGTAGTAGAGCTGATTCCGGTTGGTCATGCACTACCGTCCGTTTTCGCATGACTAATGCGATTCTCTGCGATACTATACTACTGCCCAACATTTATTTATTATTTGTCCAACTCACTGCCTAGGTGGATAAATTTGGTTCTCATTTCTACAAACTATTCAACTGCCCATGCTTGTAAATCGGATGACACTGAGTGAAACCACGCAAATCGTATCTTAGCAAAAAAAGTTTGATTGCACTCACAAACGTCCTCACAACAGTTTATCGCTTTGTAGCTCGCAAGTCATCGCTGAGGGCGGTATAAGGCCTACGCGTCAGGAGATGGCCTTCTAGTCTACGCGCTGAAGTGCCGCAGGGCCAGTATGAGATATGCCGCTATGGCGGATGTCGGTTCGCGGAGGGGCGAAAAGGTTGATGCAGTCTACTATGAGATTGAAATATGTATTTTTATTCAACAACAACGGAGTTCTCGTTTATATGGTCATTTGGACGGTGGAGGACGTTTCCCTTTAGATTAGATTACTAAATTCGTATCTCAATAAGTGTTCCATTTCCAACCGCATAAGTGTAGTTAAGCCTATTGGCGTTTTGGAGTATCGGCAGTTAAAACATTTTTTGTCTTTTTATCGTTGCTGGCTTATTTTGAATTTATTTAACAATTTTTTAAACTGTCGCAATTTGGTGTTTGTGTACCGACTCCTTTTTAATTGCCTTCAAGGCCAAAGTACTTCAAATGAAATGCACTGCCTGTAGAGTGTGACAAATTTGTGTTTATACTTACGAAATTATTGGGGATATTCTGCAAATTCCCAACACCTTCGCTGCTCCCAAATGCTTTAGTGTTCTAACGTGCCACCGGCACTTTCACTACCAAACTGACCAATTTAAAGGCTGCCGTTCAAAAATGGGATAAACACAATTGTCCTTACGTCAAGGACATTCTCCGTCCAGCCTTGCTTTCTTTTGTCGACTCAACTAAACCACGTGTGACACGAAATGGTGTAATGAGTTGTCATGAGCTGACAAAGAGGCATGTCGCACTTTTGCAAGGTCCTGCTCATACAAGAAAATCTTAGCAATATTGTTGGGCCTAATTTTGCGACAGATATCGTAGGTGAATCGGGAAATGTTGACAGCAAGTCGGGAGCATTTGGTCTCTTCTGGTTTCCCTTGCCGCAAAAATAGCAACTTCGGTCCTGGTCCCTTAGGCTGTTCTCTTGATGAAAAGCTTGGGTGAATTTGTTAGTCATGTCTTCGATAGTATGCTTGGGAATTTCGGCGCAATCTAATGAGCCAAGTAGCTAGTTTACGGAATTGTCCAAAAATTTGACGTGGCATTCGTGCTAGTTGACACAGTAGTCAAGCCTCTTGACTCAGTGACTCCCACCCATTAGACCAGACGTGATTACAAGTAGATTTCACATGCCGCTATTATGGTGGGTAATAAGACCTTATCATCACCCGTCATTTAATACGCCGCCAGACGGTCTAGTCTCGGCTTTTATGACCTGATAAGAGAAGTCTGAAGGTCACTAATGCTTGTGATCAGTCCCACCGCACCCCAAATGCACTTTTTTCACCGACAGCTTTAAGAATGCTGTCATGTATCACCGAGAAACGCGCCTACTAGACAGTATAAATAAGTGGCCCCATTCGCCTCACTCAGAAAATACCTTCTACCCTGATGTCTAGGTTGCAAGTCCCTCGACCCGTTTAGACTGTAAAGAAAGATTTGTGGAATACTGACCACAGCGCATATTTCAAAACCCACAAAATTCTTCTCGATTGCCATTGAGCTTTGTTTTATCTGGCAGTACAATGTTTTACTTATGGTGATTTGCCCGTGGCAAAAGAAGAACGAGCTGTGCCAAGTGAACTTGGCCTGAATCAAGGAGTCTATCTGCAGCGCCAGCACACCTACACTTTAAAAGGCATTTTAGCTCCTAAACTGGCACAAAGGCATTGAGTCGAGAGTAAATGCAAGGGATTAAGTCACTTGGAATCAAATGGTTTACCGAGGAGATGGCAGATCTTTTTAATGGATCGAAGGTGGTGTTTTATAAGTGAAAGGAATAGCATTTGGATTAAATCAGCGTCTTTGATATCCACACAGCACAACAGTCTGCATACATGTCTGATCATAAGGGAGAAGAATTTAGAATTCAGTTTTTCTAAATCTTTGCTTGTGTGGCTTACGCAAGGCTGGGGAAGCCTCCCATTGCAAAATGCGAAATATGTATCCTACAGTTGTTTGGCATTTATTTGAAGGTGCATTTAACTGCGCGGTTTTTCAATGCTTCAGGCTTGTGTGCCCTTTTGGTCGCACGGCGTTTTAGCCACGCTGTGCTGAGCTGACAGCTTGGCACGACATCAGGAAAAACTCGGGGCACCAAAGGTCAAATCTGATCAGCTCAATTTCCATGTCAATAATTAAAGTGGTTACTTTTATGGCGAAATGAGTTTGGCAAAATTCAACTGGTGCAATGAAAATGACCAATGCATATTGCCAGATTGCCTAGTAATTGCATTTGGAATTTTTTGAATAATTTGAGAGGGAATAATAAGTTTGGTAGTCCGTTTTACTACGATGCTTTGTTCGGATGACCCGATTTACTACTGAAGAATTGACAAGGCTTGGAGGTGCATAACTTGATGAGGACCTGGAGACTAGAGCCATGGATTTCATACGCAGTCGAGTTGTGATGCGAGATTTGGACATTTCTTTTGACATCAAAGCAATTATCCATGCCTTTTCAACTAAGTCTTTAACTTGAGTAAAGTGAGCTCAGATGCATAAAGGGCTCATAACAGCACCGAGAAGGCTGCTGGTTTGGATTGTAGGGAAACGACTTGAAAAAAATCTCAGCTCATGGAAGAAATACATTTAAAAATCATGTTCATATGTGCTTGACGATCACTGTTTGTAAGAACAGTAGACTTAAACTAAAATAAATTTAATGCAATTTAATAATGTTGTTTAGTATCTAGGTGCCTTCTTCAACAACTTATCAGGAACTTCACTTGTTACCATAGTCCATCCGGATTATTCTCTGTGAAACGATGTCAGTTCTTAGGATTCCACACATTGTATTGCATTTTTTTGCTTAGAAATATATCTGTTTCACTTAGTTTAGGTAACCCTTGTTTTAACCTAAGTGGGAGTTTTAATACTGCCATTCTGGTTTCCTAGCCCCTCCCGCACTGAATCATGACCATGAGGAATGCCATGGTAAAGCCTACGAATAGCATCATAGCTGAAGAGGCTGTCACAAGTCAACTAAAAAGTCCTAATGCTAGATACAGACACCTGTATAATCCCACTGTGGGTTTCTAACCTTTGGAAAGAGGGGCACCCATGGAGGGTGACGTCTTTATCTAAACCATGTTATTGGGTCTACAAGTTATCAAGGTTTGCGGGCTATCATTTTCTCCTTAAGAGTTAAAGACGTTCTATCCGTAACGTGGTTGAAGTAAACTGACAGCTTTGCCCTACAATGGCACTTTTATGCAAACATGTATTACATTTCTACCATTATGAACTTCATCAGGATCACTGATTTACCTACCTGACTGGATTACTTATGCCAAGCAGAACAAAGAAAGAAAAAGTTGGATTAATGGCAGCCAGGTAAGAGGTGCATTGAATGGATAAATCTTGTACATGAATCAATATATTATTTCCACTAACTGGTACCTCTACGTGATCGCATTCATGTTGATATTGTAGGGTACGCGGTAATGATTTTAGGTAAATTTAGCTCAAAACAAAGAGCTGCTTTGGTAAATTTTTTGAATTTTAGGCGAAAATTAGTATTTTTAGCACATACTTGTGCTATATCAAATGAGCAACATCCTCTATTACTTTACTTAGATAGTAACATTGATGTCCCAAAGTGGCCACTTAGCCTAATACCCCACATATAATAAACACTATTTTTACCAACAATTACTTAAGTTTGCCCCCTGTTTTAATTTTGACATTAGTTGGCTCTTGACCCACCGCGGGTGTTTTGAAGTAATGGATAGCTTGAGGGCGGTGTATCGTTTTGTCTCTTGGCCGGTGACTCGAGTTGTTGAAAAAACAATAGAAGTTCCAACTAAATCAAGTGGTGGCGGATACGCTAAATTAGCTGGTGTACTTGGAGCGACCGCAATCGCTGCACTAGCTTATAGTGCACATGGCAAGTTCTCCCTCGACTTGAGTTGACTGACTTTAGGCTTCAGAAATGCCGAAAAGTCAGAAGAGCGCCGCCACACGTTTAAGAGTGGTGCAGATATACATATTTTGCACTCTTTGGCCTTGTTAGGTGTTCGTTCCTCTAGATTCCCACAACTGGTAAATGGGGTCTCCTTCTCTAAATCACCATTTAGACAGCCTCTCTGCTCTTAACCGGTACAATTTTGTTCTCGGGAACTTGTTACTACACTGCTCTCTCAAATGACAACAGATTTGTGAGAATTGCTCCTATCGGCGGCGTGACCCTGATCCTCGCCTGGCTATCCTTTGCCTTGTAGCACTATAGCGCTTTGCACTTTTGATTACTTTCCCCTTTACCACCCTACTAGTACCATTTGCTACATCCGTAAATATACAGCTCACAATATTGTAGTACTTCATTTGACCTAGTGGTCCACAGGAAGGCGTGTTACGACTCCCCTGGATTTACCCCAAGTTTTGGGCTCAGATTGCTGGCGTGACCCATTTTTTCAACTACCTTATTCATAGTTCCTCTCTCATGACACGAATGTTGGGACAATGATATAGAAAAGGCTCTGGTGAAAAAATAACTACCAAATGTATTGTACGAATAAGCTCAGTCAGTTGAGTAGTTCTTCCTCCTTGGCCTTCCAGATCTTTTCGGCTGCTGCGTGTTGCCCCTTGACTACTATTTTCAGGTATTCATTTGCCGCGCGTTTGTCGTCTTCCGGGAGGGACTTCATGGTGGCGATCGATTTTGAAAACTTCTGGTAGATCCTGTCCATTTCTTTCTTTGTCCGATGAAGCATGTCCCGCCCTTGAGTGAATAACATTTGGTACAAGGATTAGGAAATCAGGAGTAAGACAATAAAGTGCAGGATGAAGACATGCGTCCAAGAAGTAAAATGGGTAAATTTCACTAGGTAATAGCATAGAGCTCCCAGGGATCGCGTATCGGCAACTGCATTTCAATCAGTAAAGTAGGCCTATCGATGTAAAGATGAGTTCGATAGCGCTCAGTAATTCAAGTAGTTACACACGACACTCCCAATGAAAACTCGATACAGGGGTTCGGCACGATTTTCTGCCACCTATACAGTTTGAAGCGTTGGTTCAAGTTGCAGGGCACCGATGCACCCGGATGGATGAAAAATCGTTCATGACTACAATTGGAGAAAATTACCTTTTCTAGTAAGTTCGCTTCTAACATCTCCGGTGACAAATGTCCGGAGCCGGACTGTGAACTGGGTTTGGTTAACGTCCTGGATCAGATCGGAACACGGGTTTGTCCTCGCTCGGTTAGACAATGGTAGTTCCGTATCTTCGGATAGAAACTGTGAGATAGCCGCCTTCGCAACTACAGCCAAATCCGGACGACCACTAAGGTCGACCAGGATCTGAGAAGTCGGCTGAATACCAGGCGATTGGACTGATGTCTGACTAATGATGGTGGCTACTTCGCCCAATTGGACACGTTCGCTTGGGATCTAAATATTAAGAGGATGAAGACAAAGAATTGCCGTGTTCATTGTAGGTAATATTTAGGAAACAAACAGGGATACTATAAAGTATTTCCGGAGTTAGCTTGAGGTAAAGTTTCCGATAAAGATCATCCTGAAAACGTGCGACAATCTTGGCGTAGTCCTGCATCATCTCTTCCTCCTTAATTTTCTGCTTTAGTTCATCCGTCAGGGCAACAACCTTGGCTTAAGAGAGTGATTATGTGATTCTCAATACCTGAATCTCTTCGAACCTTGTTTTTACTCTTAAATCTTACGGGCTGATGCAGAGTAGTATAACGATTAGCTTCTAGGAGTCCCCATGGGCGGATTGCACGCCTGGGGAGTACGCTGTGTAGTAGGCGTCTTGGCACAAAATTTGCAAGTATGTTATTGAAAAGAATACGGAATGGTGCTTTCAAAAGTGTCAGAACCATGAATATCGTAGAGTACTACGCCCTCGCAGAGCATACACGTAACTTGACCTTTGCGACCTTAAGTGACAATTGGGTAAAGTGAAGTTAACTAGTTGTCATTTCACTAACAAAATACATGCATTTCTAGTTGTTTACAACCACCTTCAATTTTAGCATACGTTTGCATGGTTTTAAATGTTTGGGTGTGCTGGACTGCCACTACTTTATATGATTTAAATCACAAATGCCTAGTTTATGCTCTTTACTAATAGCCGGAATGCGGTGATTTTGTTATG